TTTTCTGTCTTAATGTTCACAGTGGGCTTTATGCTGCCCTGCAAGGCTTTAAACCTGGGTTTGAATAGAGAGAAAGCCATTCTAAAGCACATATCAAGGAGCTCATTTTGAGCCTGGATCCATATTTATTTTTGATTCTGTTCATGGTGGAGAATCCTGCTTCACAGCAGCAGGTTGAGCCAAACATCCTCTAAATGTTCAGGTTAATTTTTGAGCACACCATTTCACTTTTCTTTCACCAGTTCACCACAGTTCTTCCAGCAGTCAACACTTTCTCTGCTCTCTTTTTCTCATCATCTTCTCCTTCTTTCCCATCACCCAGCTTGCCACAGGTTTGCCTGCTGTGTCTAAAAGTAGCAGCAGCAGCAATCCAGACTGACAGCAGCTCATTGGATAATTTCTATCACATATAGTCTGGTCCCGGATGTGCTGGAGGGCTTTACCGTACAAACAGGAGAAGCAGCGCAAGTGAAATTAGACACAGTGAAATTTCATGCAGTAATTTATAAATGTTTTAAATCAGGTGCGTCCGGATCCGGACCGTGGTCTGCTAATCTGTGACCTTTGTTTATTAATCTGGTTAATTACAGCTACCTTAAATAAAAACATATCCCCGTAACAGAGATAAATTAATCACAACTTAAATGTTTAGGATTATTTTTATTGGTGTTGTGCGAGTCTGTTAAACCCTAATATTACCATGGATGTCTTCTCTTTTAGAAACATGTATGATGTAATGATGGGATGATGTGGCTTACTGGATCTGAATGAAGTGCATTTTTAACCGTGTCACATTACCGTGTTTATGTCACATCTGTTTTCATGTCTCATGGTTATTTAATAGATATACATTGTTATTTAAAGAGTTTGTCCTGAGTGATCTCTTCTCAGGAAAGAAAGTTTATAGGTGTAAACACAGAGCTTTCCTTAACAAAATGGAGGTGGAAACCAGAGCGAATACTTCTTTAAATAACTTGGAACTGGATCTAACACAAAGTTGAAGGCTTGGATGAAGCCATTACACCATCCAGGGGAACCACCAATGTTGACTCAGCAGTTTCTATCCATCAAGGTCAAAGCGAGAACCGAGCGATTGTGGTTTGAGTCACAGTCAAAACAACCGATAAAGGTAGAAAAGTTCTGGTGAAGCGGGCTGCTTCTCAAACCTTATTAAAAACCACTCAGTCAGAACACAGGTCGCCTTTTAGAATCATCCTTTAGATTTATTTGAAAGAAAATCAAAGATAAATAAAGAGCAGAACAGCTGAGAAGACACAGAGCCTCTGACCAATCAGATCATTGGATCCGTTTGCTTCTCCTGATCTCATTGGCTACTTCTTCTTTGGGTTTTTGTTGTTGTTCTGCTCTAAAATATACAACAAAAAAATTAAAATCTGTTTCCTACAAAGTAGAACCTTAAACTCCAGCTTCAGGGATTAGCTGAATCAAAAGTTCTGTAATCTTCTTTAAATAAATACTCAATCAGGAACCGACCAAAAACAGTTTTTGGTGTAAAAAGCATCAGTTAAAGTCCATCAGGAACATGGACCCACGCGGTTCCTGGTTCTGGAACATATTGAGGTCTCTCTGTACATTTTATACATGTTTCTCTATTAGTGCTCAGTTCCCACAGTTCTGATGGTTCTGGCTCCTACACGGCGCCGCCTGGTCCGCCTCCACCGCCGCTCCGTGTTCTCAGTTCGTGCCAAAGCTTGACGAAAGGTTCTCTGTTCTTCCAGATCAAGTCGTTACCAAACAGGATGTACCATCTGGGGAGAGACGCAGCGGGTCAGAATAACCGATACATTTCATTACCAGGTTCTACAAGTATAGATTTATTCCTTACAGATCTAATCACTTTCTGATGAGCTAAAACTTTCAGGACGCAGGTCCTTCAATCAAACTGGAGCTATAAGGATCTGTTTGTCAGAGGGATATTATGGGCCCACAATTTTAACTGGACTCAGGTTATTGCTGTAAATCCAGGGATGAAACTAAAAAGTTTTCAGAGTAACAATGATGTTTTCTCAGATTTTATACTTTTAAAGAAAATAGAAACAATGTCTGTTTTTAAGGGTGGGCTTAAAACTTTCCTTTCTGATAAAGCTTATAGTTAGAGTGGCTCAGGTTATCCTGACCTATCTCTATAGTTATGCTGCTATAGGCTTAGACTGCTGGAGGACTAAAGCCGGGCGTACACTGTGCGATTATTTTCAATGGTTGTACGCAGCTGCTGCTCACACTGTAGGACTAACCGCAGGGTTTAGTCCTACAGTGTGACGCTCCCATGTGACCTGCCAGCTCACACTGCACGACTAAAAACCACGTCGGACTCGGCTCCACAGTGAGATGGAGCTGCTCTGACTCGTCTATCCAGAAGCCAAAAAAATAGAAGGGGAACATGAAGCTCACTGCTTTGGCAATTTTCTGAAAAGAAAAGGCGGCGACGTATTTGGAAAAAAGACATTGCTGAGCAAACGTGGCTACTATGGTCTGTCAATTTTACAGACAGAACTACATTTCGCTGTTTGCATCCCTGCAATGCTGCTGTGTTTACGGAAGAATCCTTTTTGCGCACTGAGCGATTGCCTCACTATTCCTGATCAGGAGGTGGTCGTGAGAGGCTGATCGCCCCTTGTTACCCCCTGTACACTACACCACTCTCTCTGCTTTTTCTCATCATTGCTGCTTCATCTGGTCTGTTCCTGTTTGGCTGTGACATCATCCAGAAGAGAAACATCAGCTGTGCTGCTGCCGTCAAAATGATAAAGTTCGGCTTGAAGTTAAGAGAAGGTGATCTGGGCGTGCAGGTGGCGCAGTGATTGGCGTGAACAATGCATGTACCGAGGCCTTAGTCTCCGACGCGTGCGACCCGAGTTAGAATCCAAAAACATCGAGGTTATTGCAGAAAGCTTTTTTTATTATTTGTATTAGAAAATGTTTCATTTCTGGATGGTGATTTATACAAGTTGCATAATGTGTTATTAAATAGAAAAAAATATACTCTATGCTTTTGCTCAGATTTATGTTTTAAAAATGTATTTTCTCACATTAAGGTTAGGGCTGGGGAATAAATCAGTACCAATGTAGAAAGACAGAGTACTATCAATATTAATATATTATATATATATATCTATGTATCCAATAAAATTGTCCAATTCCATTGAAGTACGATGGAGAACTTTGTATACTGGGTAATGTAGGCAAAGGAAACGGTTTAACCCATAACCTTTCACAGCCAAACTTAAAGGTTATGTTTATATCGGGCTACAATATGAATCCAGGCTTTTCCCCCTGGTCCCAATATGTTTATATGCTTAGATAGATTAGATTAGATTCAACTTTATTGTCATTACACAGGTACAGGTACAAGGCAACGAAATGCAGTTTGGTCTAACCAGAAGTGCAATAGAAGCAAGTGCAGGATAAATATTGGTTCCATAAATCACCGCAAAATAAATAATAAATTATATAAAATGCTTTTATTGTGATTTTTTTTTTTTTTTTGCCATAAACACGCAGCTTTAATTCTGATTTTGTTAGTAATTTGTTCTTCATTTTATTAATTTAACATCCTAAACAAGTTTTCCTGGTTTTATCCTAACGCATTCCTCAATTTTAACCAGATTTTTATTTCTGGTTTTCTCCAGATCAGTATATTAGATTTATGCATTGTTTTTCTCCTTCTTTTGACTTCTGAATAACGCTTGAACAATGATGAAGCAACATCTGGATGAAGGAAACAACCTCTGGACAGATGAGAGCTAAGCAGCGATGTTGGATCATAAAAGAACCGAAACAAACAGATGCTGTGAAAGCATGATGGTGGAGGGCTGATGATGTGGGATTAATTAAAAGCCACTGATTTACAGGTGGTTTAAGTTATTTAGTGCTTTAAATGATTTGCATGATGAGGATATTTCAGTTTTAGTGAAACTTAAAATAAAAAGAAATCAGGGGAACAAACTCACATTCCAAACAAAGCTCCTCCTAAATGAGCAGCGTGGTCAAAGAACTTCCATCCCAGCACCAAACCTGCCGTATCCATGGCAACGATGGCCTTCAGAGCCTGCAGACAGAGGGAGAAACGGAGGATGAGGCGGCGACAGTGGATCAGACACAGCAGTTGATGGAGTGGGCGGAGTCTCTTACATTGCCAGCGGTGAACGTGAACATGGGGAGGAAGATGATGGCCAGCCTGGCTTCTGGCATTTTGGTGCAAACGGCAGCCAGGATGGTCATGATGGCTCCAGACTGAAGAGAAAAACAAACATATTGGAGGCGTCGTGGACTCCTGCTGGAGGAGGAAAGGAGAAGGCGCTGCTCACCGCTCCAAGGGACGGGCTGAACCTCCCTGTGGCCGTCTTACAAACGTAGCTAACGAACGTAGAGATGACGCCTGAACAGAGGAGAGGAAGAAGAGGTCAGAAACGACACCTGATGGAGTCTAAATAGAGCCGTGAAGGACAGACCTGCAGACAGGTAGACGGCCATGAACTGCTCTCTGCCCAGCATGGAGACGGCGCTGGTGGAGAAGCTCCACAGGACGTACATGTTGGCGGCCATGTGGAAGAAGGAGAAATGGCTGAAGGTGGAGAGGAGCATCGGAGAGCAGAGCGACTCTGCAGGAGGACAAAGCAAACGGCCGGTTACTGACAGCTAGGTCTGCTCCGGGGGTCAGAGGTCAGGGAGGAGACTCACTGGAGGCGGGGTTGGAGGTGAAATATCGGACCATGAAGCGCTGCAGAGAGGGAACCCGCCAGCAGCAGAACACCACGGCGTTGGCAGCTATGATTCCTGAGGGGGGAGGAGGAGAGAAAAGCTGTCAGATCCAAAAAACCCTGGAAGCAAAATGTAGAAAAACTATGGAGTGAATGTTGCTCCATTGTTAGATTATTGTTATTATTAGAATTCTATTGACAAATTGTGTTCTTGGTTTGAAGCAATAATGGGAAACAATTCACTCCATAAACATCAGGATATAAAAAACAGTCGGATCACCCCCCCCAGTTCCTCCTGGTCAATCAGGACGGAACAGGTCAGGTCGAGTCAATGCAGCTTCTAACCCAACATGGCGTTGGGTTTCAGTCCAGCCACCAATCAGAGATCCGATTAGATTGCAACTCAGAGCGACGCTACAAACATTCAGCTCAGTCCTGAAGTTGACACGATACCGGACCACGGGTCGATCAATGGAACAGCTTGAAACCGGCCCGGTCCTCGTCCAGGTCAGAGAACAGCAGGAACTAAAGGTTCCCTGCTGAAGCAGGACTGGACTGAAAGGTCCGACGGACTCAGAGAGGAATCAAGCTGAGCAACAGAACCAGGACCTGGACTCACCTGTGACCGTCTTCTGGCCCTCAGACAGGCTGTTCCACCATTGGTTGATCTGAAACACAATCAACCAATCATTATCCTCCCACACCTCCTCCGATTCTACTGATACAGTAAAGCTGAACTCGTTTACCTCCTTGCGGACGTCTCCTCGTTTCTGAGGTTGAACCTTCTCCAGCCAATCAGCTCGCAGCCCGTCAAAGTAGCTCTGGACTCGGGACTTGAGCGACTCGTACTGCCAGATGGCCGCCAAGCCGAAGGAGCTGCCTGTAAACTGACCTGGAGTTAGCACCTGGTCATGACATCACTGATGGGGTCATCACACTAGGCCAGGTAAACTCCCCCTACCCCTACGGTGAAGAGGAACGGCCGGACGAGACGGCCAAAGGGCCTCTGGGGGGTGACGGGAGGCTGCAGGGGGGCCCGGTTCTGGAATGCAGCCTCAGAAGGCTCAGTGTGAGCCGGAACCGGATCCTCTGGCTTCTTTGCTTCTGGTTTTTTGGAAGCTTTCCTGAAGCCACTTCTCTGCTGGAAGCTGTGAGGCCACCTGCTGGACACACAGGTCAGAACCTGGTCTGTCTGCTCAGCAACAAAGAAACCATCTCAATATTCAGACGCCTCTAAATGATGAAACCTTTTATTTACAGCTTCTTCATTTTCAACAAAAAAAACACTCTGTAACTTCCTGTTTGTAAAACAAAGGACATTAGATAATTTTGTGCTCCTATTATTGCAAGACACAAAGTTTTAAGAATTAATATGTGCAAAAAAAGATCCAGAAATGAAACACTGAAAAAGTATTTCAAAGTCATTCTCTCAAAAAAGTTTACATTTATTTTTTATTATTTTACCCGAATTGATTTGACTTATTTTACATTTTCAGCTGAAATGTGAATGCAATTCATGACACTAAATCTGAAAAAGTAATACAAATTTAAAAAATATATAATGCATTAAGAAAAAAGTAAATTATTGAAATAAAACCTAAAAAATATGAGAACTGAATCTGGAAAAAAAAAAATAAAAATAACACCCAGCAAAACATTTTTTGATTAAAACATCTGTTTTATTTTTGAATAGCTTTTTTTTTTGTTGTTGTTTTTCACACTCACTCCATACTGATTCAAAGCTATTTGTTGGTCACAAAATGTTGGTGACCTAAGACTTTATTTAACATATCTGGTCAAATAAACACATTTAGGTTATTTCTATTCCAAAAACCTAAATGAGACATTTAGTTTTCTGACTAGTTGCTAACATAGGAGTCAAACTCATAACTGAGTCCTTTGTCATGTGATATTTATCATTGTTTTCAAAATAAAAGCGTCAAATAGCCTCAGATGGAAATATTTTAATATGTCTATTATCTAGGTGGGTTTTGATGCTGCAAACAGCAAGAAGAAAGTCAGGGCAGAGATGGCTTCATCTGACACCAAAAGAACATGAACAACTAGTGAGTTTTAGAGGAATTAGCCAGAGCTGCTAATGCTAACTGTGACATAGGAAGTAAATAAATCACCTGTTTATCAGGATTATTTTCACATGAGCTTAAGTCTAATTAAACTTTATTTTTCATTTAAGTATTTGTGTCACACTTTATTGAAATTTCCAGATTTAATTAACTTTGCCAAACTAGGAGCAAAACTGACGCCCCATTGGCAGCAAACTGTCATTAACCTAACTAGCTGCACCAAGCGGTCCTTGGTGCTAACTCATGCTATCAGCTGCTAACTCCTCGCGCCGGAGCTCTTGCCGTGACCGGCTGCTTCTCCTCCGGGATGCCGGGTACTGACTGACCTTCCTCCCCTCACGGAGCACAGAAACGGGTCTCCTCCGGTCAGCCTGCAGAGCACGGAGCAGCTTCTCCAGGCCATGTTCGAATCTGACGGTCACCGGTAGGTCCAACACTTCCGGGTCAGAAAGGAGACCGACAGCCAGGGCTCAGAGGGGACCACAGCGACACCCAGTGGATAGAAGGTGACAGAGCACACCTGGAAAAATACAAAAATAATAAAAGGTGTAATTAAGACTCACCCTCACATCCGTCTGGCATTTCAAAATAAGAAGGCATTGATAATTACAAACAATATATCGCTTATAAGACCCAAACTACACATTAAAGGTGTTTTTAAGGAAGAAAGTTGCTTTGGTGAACGAAAATATATGCCTAATTAGTTACAATTTCACAAAATGAAAAAAAAAGCTCCAATGTTTTCTTATATCAAAGAACTGACAAGTTTTTCCAAAAGATTGACTTTTTTCCTGAGAACTGATGTCCTAAAATGTACATCTTACATGATCCTAACTACCATTCACCTTTTCGTTTTGCCACTGCAGGACAGTAGATGATATTTCAACTACTGTTCTTCTAAAGAAACTATAAGTCTGCTGACCACAAGAGATACTTTTAATCCCTAACAAATAATTGATAGAGGTAAACACACAGAGTGCTGAGACATTTATTACTAAACCTACTAAGCAAATCTGTTGATAAAAGCTGATTTAATTGATTGCTGTGACTTAAAATCAGTGTGTAGTTAAATCTTTTCTGATTGTTTTAATTAATTCCCTTTTTGTCACATATAATAAAACAGTGCTTAAAAACACTCTTTTACTCAGCTTATAAATATTCACACACTAGTACATATATTAATGTCTACTTTTCAGATATTCCCATCAGGGGCGCCGTATGGGGGCGAAAGGTTAGGCAGATTCTAAGGGTCCTTGACTAAGGGGGCCCCCAAAAGAAGAGGAAAAAAATTTGTCCTGTTATATTTTTCAAATTTAAAAAGAAAATCCAGCACTAAAATAAATAATCTGCATGTTCTCCATCGTTTTTCAGGCGTAAACACTGAAAAGCATGGATATATGAATAGGTTTATGCCATTAAAATATTATATTATACCATAAATACATTATATTATATCATATATTATACCATTAAAAGACATCTATAAATCTTGATCATGGTGCAGCATGAAGCATGATCATTAAACCTATACATGTATGAAAAATTAGTTCTCAGGGCCAGCATGAAAATAATCTGTCCTTTAATAAAGTTATAGTGAAACCTAATAGGAATATTTAACTTTTTCACGTTATGATAATTTTCCTTTGTAGAAATTTTACAATAAAAGTTACATTAACAATGTATATGGTATTCTTCAGTGCATCTTTATACCAGTTTTAAAGCTTGCAGACATTTTATAGGGGGGGTCCCTATACCAATGTCTGTCATGGGGCCCCAAATTCCTGGCAGCTCCCCTGACTCCCATAAACAACTATTTCTATTTTTCCTAAGGGCTGCTGACCTTTAGATATGATGGCAATAAATCGATTCTGATTTAGATTCTTTATGTTGTATTTCTCTGTCATTTATTTACCTGTTTATGTCTTTATTGTCAAAGTTCAGAGTTTATCGAGATGAACTATTCTATCATCAACCCTACTAGTAAAGTGTGTTTGGGCGCCATCTTTTTTGACTAGTAGTTTTTTTAATCAGAATTTTCTTAAATCTATTTAAAAAGAAACAGTGATTTGATCAATCGGTGATCATTTAATGCGTACCGGTAATTAAAAAATAAAATAAAAACGTCCTCTAGGCTGGTGAGGCTTTTATTGTGAAGGCGTGGAGGCGGCGCTGCTGCTTCCGGCCCTTGTGTTCGGCTCTGCTCGGCTCGGCTCGGCCCAGAACAGACCAACGGCAGCAGCTGTAGTGAGACCCAGCAGGGAGGAACCATGGCGGCTCCAGCTCTCTCCGGTCGGGCCGGTTCGGTGGGCAGCCTCGGGAACAGCCCCACATCCACGGCCGCTGGCAGACTCCCCCCCGGGGGCTCCGGGCCCGAGCTGGACTTCAGGTCCGGGGCCCGCATGGAGGACCTGAACCGACTCATCCAGGACTTCAGTAAACACGACCAGCGGGAGTACGACGACCAGCGGGCCCTGGAGATCCACACGGCCAAGGACTTCATCTTCTCCATGCTGGGTGAGCTGATCCCTCAGAACCAGAACCTGGACCGGGGTCTGAGTGATGCTCCGCAGGGCGGCAGCATCCAGCATCTCTGTGATTCTCTGGTTCTCAGGTGTTTAATCCAGCTTCCCTTTGAGCATCAGTCAGATAAATCACCTCTAATCTGCAGATTTATCCCAAACATTCGTTAAAGCTGTGAGGATCACTGCTGCTGCCACCTCACTCTGCATTTAAGCTGTTTATTCTGCATGTTTAATAACATTCTGACCGCAAAACGGAACCAAACCAGCAACCACATTCCCTCTGCGGTGACTCTGGTGGCAGCTCAGTGCATGAAGATAAAAGATGATGATGTTTTGGTGCAGGAAGAGGTTCAGAAGTAAGAAAGTCTCATTAATTTTAGCAGAAAATGTCTGAGCTGATCAGAATCTATGGAGCTAAAGTGAGGC